GAAGAGACACAATCCTTACCCTTAAGGAATTTACTAGTTGGGGAGGTACTAATAGAATTACCACCTGAACAATATAAAATTGCTATGAAGAAGGAGGCACCAAAAAAAAAAAAAAAAAAAAAGAGGGGCATAGGACTTAGAATGAAGGTAGGGTAGGGGTTGGCCTGGTTACAGAAGTCAGGGCAGGCTTTTTGGAGGACCGAACTTCTGAGCTAAGGGCTAGAACGTATGAGCAGGACGTTCAAGGAGTTGGCAGAACCCAGAAAGGGAATTGGGGGCCCAGGTCCTGCAAGGCTTCTCAGATTTTGGGAAGGACTTTGGTCTTGGTTTTTAGAACTCTGGGAACCCATTGCAGGATTCACTATTGGAGCTGACGTGATGGGGAGAACTGATTGGAAGAACAAAAATGGGTATGGGGGACCAGAGCAGAGGCATTTGTGCAGTTACCCAGGCAAATGGAGGCATTTGATTTAGGGGTTGCTGATGGTGATGGGGAAGAGTGAATAGAACTGAGATACTTAGGAGGCAAAACAGACACACTTGGGAAGGACACTGTGCTACCAGGGGCAACACTTTGGTGTGTGACTTTGACTTATGTGGCAAGACAGATGGTGGCGCTCTTTGCCAAACTGGGGATGCAGGAAGAGGTCCTTGGTTGGCCCTTTTTTGAGAGGGTAGGAGAGGAGAGAGATTCTGGTTTAGAGAGTGGTAAGTTTACCTGAGAATGGGAGTTGTGGCAAAGCTGCAGTCTTGGGGACTCATGTCCACCTCTCAGCCCTCACTGTGGGTCCTCTTATTGGGCCATCTCAGATATCCCACCTATAAGCCAACATCTGTTGCTATGCCCAGTCAGATCAGTACAACATGTCTTGAGGGCTACCTTGTCCGGGCCTATCTCAGGTATTACTGTGCATTATGCCAGGGAACCACTCATGCATGGTTCTGGAATCATTCCAAATACAAGGTGATCAGGCACAGAGAGTAATTGGCTTTCAGAGAAGGGAGAGATTAGCTAGGCCTGAGGACTTCAGTGTTTGTGCTTTAAGCAGCCAACAGGCCATTCTTGTCGAAAATACTTACCTTAGCAGTTGGACTTCAATAACTGTAATCAGTTTCTAAATCCAGGGAGATGTGACCAAGGAGTAGAAAATTTTATGGATAGTTATATACAGTTCTGGTAACTTTAGAGGTCAAAGAAAGGTAATAGATGCACTGAAATAAATGTAATGGTAAGGTTACCTCAAGTCCTTCATCATGGTGTGTTTGTGTGTGCACATGGATGTTAAATTTTCCCCAAGGAGAAAATGGGAATGGTTTGACTTGTGGTACCGAGATAAAGCTTATGTAACTGAAGGTAGATCCTAACTTAAAAAAAAAAGTATCAACCTTCTTTTACTGAAAAAAGAATTGGTACTTAGGTTAAATTCTCTTAACACTCTGTGCAGATGAGTATCCGGGGAGGCAAGAGCATGGCATCTGCAGGAAGAGAAGGGCACTTCCCTTTGTTCCCCTAGTCGCAGACACCTTTGAGAGCGGTCCCTCAAGACCCAGACTTCTAGCTGCTTCTGTGTCCCTTAGCTGCCTGGTCTCCTCACCCAGAAGAGACTTAATTCTGTAAGGCAAATACTTGTCCTCCCCAGAAGCTGCCAGTTACGACTCCTGTCTGTCCTGGCCGGCATTCTGCCTTTCTAGCAACAGATGTTTCTGCACAGTAAATATCGTTGACCTTTGGCGCCTTGGTGTATCTTGCACTGAACATGAAACAGTGGGGTTATATGAGCAGGGTGTCATGAAGCTTGGCATGCACTCAGCGCTGGTACCAGCCTCTCTGCTTTCTCCACTCCTCTTACTGGTGTGTGCATGTTAGATTCCTGTTGCATCACAGTGAAAGCTCCAGAAAGAGATCCCCCTGTAGCTGCATGGCAGAGTTGATCGCCTCCATAAGATTCTACCAGTCGTTTTGGGTTGAAGTAGACAAGAATCTGTGTTTTAGGTGATCTTTTTAAAGGGTGTCTTCTCCATTGTCCCAAGTAACAGAGAGGGTTTTATCTTAACAGGGTGAGGCATCATGGTGTATCCACATGCTACAAGGATCTTGGGTTCCAAGAGCTGATAGCGTCCTAGATCCCCACGTTTGAGCTGTGTGCTCTTATGTCACTCCTCTAACTCAGCTGAGTTCTCAACACAGGTAGTCCTGCTTACCATCATTGCAGGATTCACACGTTAGGGAAGAATAGCCCAGCCTTGCCTAGAACTGAAGCTTACAGTGTACGGAGTGCTTGTGTAGTGTATCTCCCTGGGTCTCCTGACAATCTAATGGGTTAGGTGGGGCTGACAACTTATGTCAGGCGAGGCGACCAAGAAGTTAGGCCTAACCTAGGTTACTTACACTTCTAGGAAATGGTGGAGCTGAAATTTGAACACAGGAGCCAGGTGAGGTTGGGGTGAGGGCAAGGGGCTGGGGAAGGGGCTGATCAGCCTACAACCAGGACCCCATGCAAGGCAAGTATAAAGGGGGAGGTTCTTCAAAGCAAGCTTGAGGGATACCTGGGTGGCTCAGTCAGTTAAGTGTCTGCCTTTGGCTCAGGTCGTGATCCCGGGGTCCTGGGATTGAGTCCCACATTGGGCTCCTTGCTCAGCGGGGAGCCTGCTTCTCCCTCTCCCTGCCTCTCCCCCTGCTTGTGCTGTCTCTCTGATAAATAAATAAATAAATAAAATCTTTAAAAAAAAAAATGAAGCAAGCTTGAGCTGCTGATCCAAAGACTGGGGAGTGGATGCTGAACAAGCAAAATACCCAGTGTCCCCCTACACCGTTACCAAGATTTCTCTCTCAGGCATGAGCCATTCAAGCCCATGGTGAATTTCTTTTCAGATTCCAATAATTGGGATTTTTAGTCTGTCTAGCTATGCTTACTGGCCTACAACCCAGCATGGACTTCAGTACTCACTACCTAATTCTTTTGTCAAGGGGAGAGGCCTCCTTATCAGCTTTGTGGGGCCCACATGGCTTCTCAGGTTTGTGTTGTGGTGGGGTGTCCCTTTTGACAACGAAATAAGGTTACTTTCTGGTCATAAGCTAATAGGCCCTGCTCCAGGTTAAATGGGTCCTCCTATGAAAAGGCCCCACAAAGGCCCCGTTGTGCATTATTAGCCACTCCTGGATCCTCACTGAGAGCTGCTCCTGGCAGCACAGCTTCTCGGGTGCGTGTTGGGAGGTTTCCCAAGCCTGCCTTATATTTCACCTTTCTTCCACTGTGTGGAGATGCTTGTCCAGCTTGAGTCTTTCTTGCCAAGGGGGGAGGCATAGAGGATTGTTAGGTGGATAGAGAAGCAACTCTAGTCTTACTCTTGGCTCAAGCCTTTCTTTGTGAGTTCTGATCAGAAGACATTCTGACTACAATGAGACTGAGCACAGCCGTGCCCTCATTCTATACCTGATACTCTTTGGCCTTCTTGGGGGCTTTGTCTTCCACTCTGAAAGGTGATTCTTCCTTTATCTTATCCTGCCTGTGGCCTGCTGTCTTTCCTCCCCACAGTGTTCTGACTTTGAGATGAATCAGTTTCTTTATTGACTTGCCAGGGAGTGATTTGTATTCTTAGGGAGATCCTCAGCGTGGGTCGGCCAGTTTTAGGAGACGGCTGATTCCTTTGCCAGCATCTTTGGACTTTTTGCCAAGGACCATTGCATTAAAGTGACTGAACCAGGGAGAGACCAGAGACTATTGGCTGGTGGCTCCTGGGTTCTTCTTCTCCACTTCAAGTGTCTTCCTCTTTTGGTGTAGAGCAGAGGGCCTTGCATAAGCCATGCTATCTTGGGATTCATGTCATCCGAGCCTGTAGGAGGGTGGTCTCTGAGCAGGAGCCCCTGCTGTCTGTGTGATAACCCTGAGCCCCAGACCTGAGAGCAGAAGGACTGCTTAGCTGGGCTCTTCCACGGCAGCTGCTGCTTGGAATAAGCTCTGGGATCCGTGAACTGCACGCCAGTGGTTGAACTTGTACACCCCCCTCCACACATACATTATTCAGCATGCATTGAGCAGGATGCACTGCCAGGTACACAGAGAGGAAACAAATAAAACCAAAAGGTGGAAAAAAAAACATGACCCCTCACTTTAAGGAACAGATCTGGGAACTAAAAAAGAGAAGAGCAGAAGACCATGGATGCTTTTGTTCCATTAGATTATGTTGATCTGTGAAGCCAGAATCCTCCCAACCTCCTCCCTCTATCTCATTAAAGCCAGTGCAGGTTGCCAGTTATGCCTCCTATTTCCCTCCTCTGGGAATTTGGACATAATACCATTTCCCCTTCAATAAGGGAAACATCTATGAGGGTAATTTGAATGATTAGCCTAATCTGCAGGAAGGCTGCACATGGAATTAAGTTAAGCACATTTGTACCGAGCAGCTGTGTCTGTCAGGCCACTTAAAGGTACCTGGGTGGTTTTATACCCTTAACAGAAGCTGAGGGTTCAGGAGGGATCATTCGCTTTTAATACTGCCTTAGATGAAAGCTTATTTTTTAAATTTGACAAGGGTTTCCAAAAGCTTTCTTTATAGATAACATGTGGGGTGTGTTTTTACCCCAACTCAGAACATTGCCAGGGCTTTGTTCTTGTGGCAGCGGGAACGTGATGACCCAGGGAAATGGTTCAGACAGAAATTTGTCAGGCTGGCTGGTCACTCTCCTCGTGAGGGAAACTGAGAGGGTTGTGAGAACTCGGCCTCACGTGTGCTTGAGTTAGAATAAAGAGTCCGGGAGCTCCTGTGTCGTGGGAATGGGGCACTTCCATGCCTTTTCTTCCCGCTCCCTACCTAATGCCGGACCACATGGGAGTTACCGGGCAGGGCTGATTACGTGGGAGGTCCGTGGCAGGGCTGACCCACAGGGTTGTGGATACTGAGATCTGCTCTGACCCACGCTTCCTCTTGGATTCCCACCTGTGACAAACGTACATGACAGGACTCACTGTGTGGCTTAAGGAATTAGAACTGGGACCGGAATGGTTAAAGCAAAGAAACAGAAATAGTAATTTTTCAAGTGAGTCAGAATTTCAGGTTAGAAACAGCTGTTCAGTATTTTGAATTTATGTTGTGTTTGAAATAGCCTCAGGAACAAATCTAGCTGCTACATTAGTAGGACTAAAACGTTCAGCAAATATGAAAATCAATTTACGTCAGTAATTCATATTTTTTACTCTTTTTCTTGCTAGATTTGTCTTTGGCGAAGAGGAAATTTGCCGATTCCTTAAATGAATTTAAATTTCAGTGCATAGGAGATGCAGAAACAGATGATGAAATGTGTATAGGTAAGTCTTAACCGTGTGTCTGATGAGTCACTGTTTATCATAACTGTCAGTGTCCTTGCTGAGCCTTTTTCCTGTGATAGGAAGTATCTAAGTGTCATAAATTAAGTCCACACCAACAGTGGATGGGGCAGAGTGAAGTGAGGGGCTATTCTGGGCTTTTCCTCAGAGTTCTGAGACTGCCTCTGTCACCCTTGGGCCTGTAGGAGGCAGCTTGAAGGTTTGCAGTGGGCTTCTTCTCTCCAGCCTTCTGTAAGGTTTTGCTTCTGGCTGTTTTTGTGACTTTTCTTTGCCCAGGTACTACAGAACTGAGAGCAAGAACAGAAGACAGGTAGATGAGGGAAGAATTACAGGTTGCAAATGATAGTTTGTGGGCTGAAATCAGAATACAACAACCATGTTTTCTTTGGCACTCATTTTTTAAAATTGAGTTAACATATAAATTGAATTTGTGTAAAGTTCTGGTTTTCCATCTCTTTGAAAATTGGAGGATCTGATCAGCTGGCCCCACATTCAGGCCTGGCAGTTGTCAGCTGGAGCTACGTTGCTGCGGCTGCCTTCAGATGGACAGAAGAGCTTGGTCTCCAGCTCCCCTCTGCCTTTCCTTAACCAGAGGCTGAGGGTGGGGTTACTGTTGATTGCTGTGCTGCTTTTCTTTTCACTATTACCTTCTGTCTCTTGTAGGCAATGCTGAGCACAGAGGATTTGCAGTGTCAAGACACTGTGTCTGGCAGGGTCTAGTCATTGCCCTTGACTCTTCATACATTGGGCATCTTGGTTAGCTCCAGGGGTGAGCAAGGATTGAAAAAGTTGTCAAATGCTTATTGAATCCCTGTTGTTACACAGAGTGCCAGGATCTGGGGGTGAGGGAAGGCAGCTGGGAGATAGCTGAGAGCAATGAAAATGCATCACTGTAGTTAACTCCTGGAGCTCCCCAACATTACATGTATGTCCTGAATATCCTCAGGGCTACTGGACTTACTGCCTTTTGCCTTTGGGAATAATTCTAGTGGGGACTCTCCGTGTCTGACCACCGTGCTGCAGGCTGCATTATATTAATAAGTGGCTTGATGTGGCTTCTGTTGCGAGCTATATTGGTGTAGTTGTGATACCAGAGGAAAGGTTGATTTCTGACGCAGTCCCACAGCCACGGTTGAGGAGGTCAAATCCTGGGCAGGAAATCCTTCAACTCCCAAGCAGAACTCTGCCCTTTTCAGCCTATGGTCTGGAAGCTGGCCAGCACCTCATCAGTCCTGGGTAGTCTCAGGAATAGGCAAGTCATTGAAGGAAATCCTTTCCCAGCTAGAGTGCCAGGTGAAATTAACCTGCATTCGGGGGTCATCCTGGATGGTTAATGATTAAAAGATAAGGGGAGTCTTGGGAAGCAATTGACTTTAGGATTCTGCATGTGTCAAGGGATTTCAGTCCATAACATAATAGCTGTACCTGGAAAGGCTCCCAAAGGCCCATTTCTCTGTCCCTTTCATGGTACTTTCTCTTTTCCAGCAAGGTCTTTGCAGGAGTTTGCCACTGTCCTCAGGAATCTTGAAGATGAGCGGATACGGATGGTGAGTACGGCTGGGCTGCTCTTGCTCCCATACAGTGTGGTCATGTCAAGAGATTTGTTGTCAGAAGAACTGGGTTCGAGTCCAGCCTCTACCACTTGAGTGTTTTGAACTCTTTTTTTTTTTTTAAAGATTTTATTTATTTATTTGAGAGAGAGAGAATGAGAGACAGAGAGCATGAGAGG